GAGCCACCCAGGATGGGGGTGGAAAAAGGAGGAGCCCATTGAACCACCCAGGAAAAGGGCCTCTTTCCACCCCCCTCCTGGGTGGTTCAATGGACTCTTCCTGGGATGGGAGGAGCCCATTGAACCACCAAGGCTGCTGCTGAAAGGAGGCCTCCTTTTAGCCTAGGCCTCAGCCTGTATATTCACCTTATAAGATGCACCAACTTCCCCACCCTCGTTTTGGGGAAGAAAAAGTGCATCTTATATGGTGAAAAATACAGTAGTTAGGGGCCCATAGGAGTGGGCAAGGGGATTCGGTGGTTTCCGACTCTCCCATTGTTACCGGCTGGGCAGCCTCCCTCTTGAATAAGGACTGTGCTGATACCATCCAGTTACAGACTCCAGATATACATGGTAAATTTACAATTACAATCACCAAAGGGTTGACATATTGTTATATCTCAAACTTCTCATACTCAGATTAGAATAAGAGTTATATAACATAATACTGTTGGTTAAAATAAGCTTAATACTGTCCCTGGATATAACTGGTTACATATTGATGGGAGAGTTCCTGCAGTTGTAGTTATATGTAATTGTTATGTGAGTACTTTTATTCTTTTACTATACTTAAGAACCAAGTAGTATGTCAATTACAACCAGGTTACAAACTGCTAAGGCACTATATAACAGAAGAGGATCAGCGGAGATGCCTCCTAAAGTTCAGGAAAGTACGTAATCAATAGAAGAACTGTTAAAAAATTTCCAAAAAGAGATATCCCAGGAGCTGAAGGAACACTGAAAAGAATCGAATGATAATTTAAATAAAGGTCTAGAAAAATTTGAGAAAACATTAGAGTATCTAACAAAAGAAATGACAATATTGAAAAAGGAACAAAAACAATAAAGGAAAAAACCAGTCATTTAGAGGCAGTTACAAAACAGTTATCGGAGCAACAAAAAGAGGAGGAAAATCAAATCTTAATTCAAGAGTTAAGATACAGGGGAAAATGTTTAAAATTGAGAGGGTTAGCGGAAACTACTAATGAGGACCTTTATGTAAAGATTATACCTGCGCTGGCAAGTTTTCTGGAAGTAGCAGAGGAATATGTAGAGATGGAACTTGACAAACATTTTAGAA